CTTAACATGCCTCAAGTTTTCCATATACAGAGCTTTGTTGACAACTTAAATGTCCATATAATTGCCGTATCTCGAATCAGTGATAGCAACAACTCTTGAAATACCGTTTGACAAATTTTTTTCGAAACAAGTGAAACTAATGCCAGACCGCATTTGAATTTCTATTCTGTGTGATTATCGGGTTCATTCACCAATAAGGACAGTCATTGCGACAGATGCTTCGCAAAATGAAGAAAAAAGTGCAATACGGACATTCGCCCCTATTCTAGATTGCTCATTTCTTCTGCATATTCCATATTTTGTACCGATTTTTGCAGGAGCGTTTTTTGCAATAATTTTGGCTCTCCGCAAATTAACAGCACCAACTAGTTTGGCAATAATTTAAACTGATTCGCTGTCGGTGTGTGTTTATCTCACTGCAAATAACTCCCACGTGATGAGTACTTTGAAATCATTAGTTTCACCACATATACAGCTGGTTAAATTGGTTTGGGTACCAGGGCAGAAGGAAATTTTCCTCAATGAAATGGCGAATGCATTAGCTAAGTCATCGTTAAATGGCCAGGATATTCACATGTTACGAGCATCTAAATTTGTTATAGGGGCTATATTTAGGAGGAAAATGATGTTAGAAGAATTTTCTTTGCCGTCCATAATAAACACCTCGGAATTTCAACACCTAAATTATCGCTGAAACAGTAAAATATGCGACACGCTTGTAGTTGAAGTCGAAATACAAGAATGACGTGTCATATTTTTATCACAATTTTTATTTAAACAGAGGTGGCCCGCCTGCTTCCTCTGATTGTTGGTTTTGTGGAGTCCCTGAAACAAGATGTCATTGTCTGATTTATTGTAAAAAATACGCTGCATTGCGCAAAATCACCTTAGATGCCGCCTTCCGTCTCGTAAGATTGAAGTTAAATACTCCAAATGGACTTTGTTTGGGGGCTTTGTCCATAGGGTTTAGTGACAGGAAAGTTGCCGATGCCTTGCAAGAGTTTAATAAACCTTCGAAAAGATTCAGACCGTACAACATATTATTATGCCTAAAGTACTTTTTTTTCAAATTTCGCTTCATTTATTCATTTATTTATTGTTGATCCTCAAACCATCTGCGTAATTTTCTATATCCGTTATGTCTGATTGTCCGATTCTCATATTTATTTTTGCCCTTTTTCTCATTAGATTAAAAATCGTGAGCTAACAAATTAACAGTATTTCGTCAGAACTACTCGGCTCTTGGCCAACTCCCAGTGTGGGTGTGTTCCAGAATTTCCAGGCGCTTCTTTCTTTACTTTCTTTCTTCATCGAGCGAGTGCGCGTTTCAACTCCGTAACGAAACGCTGATATTATCTTTGTGTTTGTACCCCTAAGACGTAAGTTGGCCGCAAACGCTTAGTACTCTTTACAGTTGGCAAAATTTTCCACCATTCTCGTTGGGGCTGTGTTTTCAACGGTGAAACCACTGAACGAAGTTAGAATTTAAAAAGGATCATGAAAATAAAAGCAAGAGATTATTAAATTACACTGAAATTTTCTATGTGGATAATATGCGTGTTTCCGTAATCTATGTTGTAGCGAGTAAAGACAGTCGTTATATTTGAATTATATTGGAGAGTTTTACGTGCCGAAACCATTAGATGATTTTAAGATCTGCCGCACCTTGGAGGGCTGGAGATATTTCGACAAAATGAGGCAGTTGTTCTCAAATGGGGGTCCGTAAAGCCATTAATGGGTGTCCTGAAACGTATCTCAGGAAAAAAAAGTGGCCGCGTATCTGCATGTAATCTGCAAATGTCGTCGAAAGACGATAGTCTTGCGTGTGAAGAGAGTCAACAAAACATTTATTTGATGTTCTGCGCAAGAAAATCGGTGAATAGTATTCTGGAGGCGCTGCGTTAGAGTGCCTCGAGCGTGCAGCGGAGGCGAACGAGCGCATCAAGTCACGTCACACGTGAGACATCAGTGCCATCTGGCAGTTCCTTTTGGAAAACAAAGCACGTGGCCGTGCGCGCCCGTCTCAGAGGTGATAATGTGTATAACGCGAGGCGACGGGTAGGTGCCACGACCATCTCGTCTTAGGAAAGCGTTGGAAACACTCCCCGTTCCGTGCAAGCGTTGCATGGTAACCGCAGCGTGATAAGCGCTATGGTCCTTAAAATCACTTAGGTATGTGTTTTTTAGTAGGAAATGCATACGCAGAACATATGCGTGTTGTTATGATGCCCTAGACATGCGCGATAATTACTTTTTAATTGACAATTGCACAAGCATGAACGCTCAACCTTGAGCAACATTGGAGGTCGCTGCAGATGGGGTCAGCCGTTTCAAGTACCCGATGCCGGTGAGAGTGGACACCCAAGAAAGACTATCGCCTTTAAAAAAAGAACAAAGAAAACATTGGGGGGGGGTGCACATTATGTCATCGCAGTGACTCCTCCTGAATTTTGTAACGCTTCACCGCGTAATGCGTTTGTGCTGTGGTCGAGCTGACTTATGTTTCTCCTCTATGAGACAGTTGTAATACATTTGGTACAGCACTCACGACATATACGGACGAGTATGTTTTTTTCTAGGCTTGCGTATCTGAGGAGCTTGCATAGCTTGAAACAGGTTGAATGTGGCTGAATAGAATGAATTGAAGAAAACTTATTGACAAGCTGATGAGATCGAATTGGTGTTGCACTTTAGATGGAACTTTCATTGCTGGTGAGAAGCAAAGGGCGCCCATTTCACGCAGCATGTGATGTTTAACTATAACCACCCCCCACTTTTTTGTCTCCCTTTAAGTGGTCCCTCGTCACTCTCACCAGCCCATAAGAATATTCCTAAATATACATGGATGGATGAGAGCCGTTGACGTAGGCTTCTTTAACGTGTACCAAGTTCAATCTAAGCACACGAGCCTTCAGCATTTCTTTCTTATATCTAAACGCGACCGCCGCAGCCAGTATCAAACCGACAACCTTCAAAAAGACCTCTATCTTCTTCAAAGCTGTAATTGCAGTTGGCGGCCTCAAACAAGATGAGATCACTTGTCAGAACGTCGGCTCCACAACAACGTGTGTTCAAGAATTCTTCATCGCTTTAAGCTCGCCACCTGCAGTGACCGTTACAAAGTCGTCTGGCATAAGCAAGTAACACTCTGTCTATACGTATGTGTTTGCTGCCGAGTCAATAGAAGAAAGTAATATTAAAGAGAGTGTCACGCCAGAATTTCGAATCCCAGCAGTAAAGATTGAAACAGGAGTATGATGGGAATTCTAACCAGCGCATGGCATGGAGGACGAAGGGGGTGTGGCGTCCCGAAGGCTTTACGCTGGGCGCGCGTGCTGATTAGTTTTTTTCGTCTTTTTTTTTCTTGAGCGCAAGAAAAAAAACTGAAACAAGAGTCATCATAAGAAGTTTAAAGGGACACTAAAGGCAACTATTAAGTCAACGTTTATTGCTGAAAAAGCGGTCCAGAAACCTCGTAGCGTTACTTTTGTGCCAAGGGAGGGCCTATTTTTAAATGAAATCAGCTCTTAGTGGTCCGCATCGGATTAGCGCCCTTCAAATGACCCGTCTCAAGAAGTGGCCGACCGGACTGACTCACGTCACTGTTGTTATGCACAACGTCGCCCGGCTTTAGTGCGCTGGTAGAAGCAGACCGAAAGCAGAGGGAGCCACAACAGCAACAACGGCCAAAGATCAATTTCTTGCCATAGACTTCAAGATTGCAGACGTTTATTGGTTCATCTTTGCCCCGCTAGATGGCACCACTTATTCTGTGTAACTACGTGAAAATTGATTTTTTTTTTACCACTCACGTCATTCCCCATAGTAACGTCCAGCGGTGCTTTTTTCAATGAATAAAACAGAAACGAACAAGCAGCATTTTATTGCGTGTCTTGATGCACGGAAGGTTCGCTATTTAGTGCAGCTAGATCGATTACTAGTGATTAGTTGTAGGCGGTCCGTCTGCTGTCATAGAAATCATTTAAAAAATGTCCTACTGCGGCGCATGTGTTCTGGTGCCTTCACCTTAATTTCTCATATAGTAAGGCACTGTTGATATATTGTCATTTTAAATGTTGCCATACATTGACCTTTCACCCTGACATAAATTCTTATTTGACTTTATTGTCTTTTTAACAGGAACGTGACGAGCTAGCGGCTTCAGAGGATGTTGGCTTGTAGACTGGTGTTCTTAATCACCATCAGCTGCAAAATAATCCATGAACTGAGAAAGTGCGTAGGTTCACGCATTGTTCTGCGGCCCTTGTACTAATGGCCAGGCTGACAATTAATTGGTGTCTATTCGGTGACAAATTCTGTACTTTGCGACCTGTTAGTGACGAGAATTTTAACTTAGCGCAAAATTTTCAATTTCTTGTTTTACCTATTCAAAATGTTTTTTTTTTATTCACAAATAGTAAAGACAGTGTTCATATGACCACCCATGTTTTATTTGGCTACAAATTTAGGGATAATATTAAAGGACATGGCTTCTCCACCCACATTTGGCTTGAATTCTGGCGCATTTTCAATTTCACCTAACGGCAACCCTGCTCTGCCCTGATTCCCAAAAGAAAGAAATATGGCAGGCTGCGCCAGCAGGGAAGGGGGCGTGGTTGGGCTGGAGCTTCTACCAAATTCTCGCTCGCCCCTTCTTGCCCCCCCCCCCCCCCAGGAGCAAGCATAGTTAAAACACGACGCATAATGAAGTTCTGTGCCTCTCTGCCTCCTGAAGAAACACAATTGTCCTCGGTGCCCCCCCCCCCCCCCCCCTCCCAGAAAAAAAATCTTGGTGCCACGCCTGGACTCGCCCCAAAGCGGCTTGCATATACGTAAGCCTTTGCGTTCTGTGTATATAAGCCATTTGAGGTCCCGGCACTACAACTCTCTCACGCCGTGCTTTTGGTTCTCAAACCCCCAAGTTTCGATCGTAATCAAACTCTGGTGCTTGCCGTGCCAGTCTGAGAAGGAACAGTCTTGCGTCTTCGTTTACTTGACCCATGCAGGGCTGGAACGACGTGAGCTACCACGGCTGCCCGCAGATCCGCACGCCGAACATCGACGCCCTCGCGTGGAACGGCATCCGTCTGCGCCGCTACTACGCGCAGCCTCTGTGCACGCCGTCGAGGGCAGCGCTGCTCACGGGCCGCTACCCCATCTACACGGGTTCGTGCTCTGGCGTTCACCTCTGAACTTTCATTCATACGCGCGGTAACGTCAGAGATCGAAGACTGTGAAAATGAATATCTGGTCATGTCCGAGATTGCAGTATTTTTTTTTGTGTGTGTGGGGGGGATCATGACATTCAATGACTTCGCTCGAAAGGAACGGTGCCTTTGCTTTTCACAGTGCAAGGTGCAAGAAGCTGAAGCGGAGTCCCCAATGGAGGCAAGCTCCACAGCATGATTTTTCGCGTGCCTCTTCAGATAGCATTTTCCGCGCAAGTGGTCTCGTTCTGAGTGGCGATTGAGCAAAACAGCTTGCAGTCTTCAGGCTTTTCTTTCTTTGTATTTGAGTATATTTCGATGATGTGCAAATCAGACGATGGACATCTTTTTCACTCAGGAGAATCTTGGTATTCATACATGGCGCGCAGCTTGGGTAAAATATTAGTAGCACTAGAGTGAACAAATATTACCATGTACAAGTCTTTCTGTCTTTCTTTACTTTTTATTATTTCCAGATAAACTTCCCCTTCGTGTGAGGTATCTGCAGCTGAGTACATGACACAATTATCTAGTAAATTCGTAATATTCACTATTACCTATCGTGTAAGGACACGCGCAGTGAAATAGGTGACCAGTAAAAGAGCGAGGGCTTGTGGGATGCACCGTCTGCTGCCGGCTTCGGGTTCGAAAAAAAGCACACGTTTAGTTGGGCGCACGGAGGAGCTGCGTTGGCTGTAAAAACTACGTTACGTACGCGGCAAGTGAAGCGTGCAAAATCACATTTAGTTTAACGTACCTTGATGTGTTTCACTAAAATAGATAGATGGTATGCGAGTACAAGCGTTTGTCATGCTTATCAGCTCCACCGACGTCAGGAATATGCTAGGTCCCACTACCATGACCCCAGTAATAACGTGGCCTCTGTGATCTGCACGAAACGCACCTTGACTGCCTGGGTGAGGACCTCCAGCGTAAGAGTCAGGCCGTGGTGTTCGCTGCGTCGATTTTTAGCATCGTTCCTGGGTGCACTGATTCCTCACGTTCAACTTTGCTGCTTTGAACGCGGGTTCACATTGTAAGAACGGGGTCTGATTGGGCATGGCCGCACTGAATCGACCCCAGTGTTCTATCCAAGGCTGCTGCCGATGGGGATCAGCGTACCTCGCAGCCAGAGGTCACGTTGCAGGTATTCATGACCTTACGAAGTACTACACGCATATTTAAAAGCGAAAGCTCGCACAACTTCCAAGGAGTGTTATGATGCGCCATGAATAAAAGTACCTACCAAAGTGCCATTTTATTCATGGCTTCATTCGCCGAAAGGCTTGGCAGATAGAGACCCGTTTCTGCACACATTCTATCGAAGGCGACTCTTGAGGATTTTCGTGAGTCTCTATTACACTTCTTCTGAGTCATCAGGATGCCGGAATGCACCACTTGAGTTTGCCTTGTCTGCCATGAAAACATCGTCTTTCATTGTGAAACACACATGCATTGCATCAGGTCCGCTGTTGCTGTCTGCGTCGAACGCCACTATACTGCCACGAGATACTCTCGTTCTGGTTTCTTCGAGGTGTCGCGAGAACGATTCGTAGTAAGCGTTGCGTTACGTACGCAACGTTTTTCTTCGGGCGTACGCACACATCTCTGGAATCGATACGTTGCGTACTGCCCATGCACAGTTCTTTCCCATGGTAGTGCTGCGCATGTGGGCTTGTTACGTACCCCCAACTAAAAGTGCCTAGTAAATAGACGACTGCAAACCACTCTGCCATAAACCTCAGATTATTCTAGATTCGCGCGCGTGGTGGCCCATTTATCTTCGTCCTAATAAACCATGGTCGGTTGGTAAGCCGTTCGCTGCTCTAACTCGAGAGTGGAAGGCAAATGCATGTATATATATCGATTTTCATGGAACGAAGAGAGAAAAATGAGGCGGGCCGCGGCTGTGAAGAGAGCCGCAGCGATAGGTAACCTTTGGGTAACGGACTTGCGCCAGTGTGGGAAAACCATTTTATCACAGGTACGTGTGTATTCCTCACTGGCATGGATTTGCTGCAAATATTATATCGAGAAATAAATGGTCGCGCAGGTGTGCCTAGCAAATATATTGTGGGAATGCGTGGGCGAAATCGACCTGCCATACGAGATGAGGACCGGCCAATGCACACTGATATATGAAAAAAAAAACGCGAAAGCGTCATTGAAGAGTAAGTTTACATCAAGCGCTGGACGTGACCGTTTGCGTTTATCTTGGTGAAACTGTGCGTCAGGACGGCACACAAAGGAAGAGGTGCGTTAAACAAGCGCAGGGTTTCGATTATTCGGTGCCGCATATGTTTGAGTGTATTGTTAATGTGCCGCCATGCCGCGCAGCTTGACCAAAATCAGCGTTCAAATAAACATCTGGAAAAAGTATATGTCCACGCGCTCAATAATTGCTGCGCCTCATGCCGATCGACCGACGATGTCGGTTGAAACAGCAATACTGAAATGAACTCTTAACACACTTCTACAGTCATGCCCATTCCCTGTGATCTTTAAAATGGCAATTTTTATGTGCAGTAACGTATCATACAATGAAAACTCTCTTCTTTATCGACTAATCTGCTAGCCAAACTGACTACTCCCGAGCAGCATAAAATCACTTCAGATCATTTTGGTGCACTAAAAAAAAGTTTTCTCACCGTTCATGGCTTTCGTAGCTTATTGTCGTCGTAGTCACGGTTAGCAGAAAAAAAACCAACTTCCAAAGCAGTGAAATCGCAGAAACTTCCAAAGCAGAAAATTGGAAGCGGCTGTAGAAAAGGTGAGGCAAACGCGTGGTTAGAAAGGATGCTTAGTAGAAAATGGTAGGATCTTTACTCGGCGCAGCGGTAGCTCAGCCGATCAAAGCCCCCAACATAAAGAGCAATGGGTGGGCTTTCGAAGATCGTGAAGGTATACCTCACCACATGGCGACTGCTGGGCGCAGTTCCTGTATGCATGAGTGCGAAAAAGATTATGCATGGGTATATATGATGTGTATGCAGGGCTCCAGCATTCAGTCATCTACAACGAGGAACCGAGGGGACTCCCACTTTCGCATACACTGTTGCCCCAGCGGTTGGCAGACCTGGGATATGTTACCCATCACTTGGGAAAGGTATTAAGCCAAGTAAACTTAAACCATTTCTGAATATAATTCTTGCTCGCACGTCACTGTGATGGCAAGAGTTTTTAATGATCATTTTTGTATCACTACGTAGCGAGAGTTCTCAATTTATGAAATGCCATCTTTTGATTACTTCAGTAGGAAACTAAAGTTAACTAGCTGCATACCGATGCTCGCTTCATAGACAAACATCTCGAGACAGGTCCGAAGGGCCGGGATTTATGCTACAGAAGTTTATACAATAACGACATGGGCTTTGAAAGTGGTAAAAATATCGGGTAATTAATAAAGATGTTGTTCATTGGAACACTGAACGTTGTTCTTGCAAGAGAAAAAAAATTGGCAGATCCCATGTACAGTGGGAATCGATGATAGGCAAAGCACGAATGACGAAGGTTGATATGTCACTTTAATATCAACCCAACGTTACGAAGCGAAAGTAAACTATGCTGTAGATGACTTCCATGGAATGATTTTAATGTTTGGACGTGTAATTTACCTTCGTCATCTATTCACGTCACCTGAAACCAAAATAGATATTTGTGGAGCTAGCGAAACGGCTGCCAGCGTGCTATGAGCGTAGCATTTGTAGTCCAGTTTTACATGACGTGCATGCCATGATTACCACATTTGGACGTGTCAATTACCTTCGGCGCCTATTCATGCCACGTAATACCAAATTTGATATAAGTTGACCTAGCAAAACGGCCGTGAGCGCACTATGAGCGTAGCATGTAATCATGTTTTACATAACGCGACTAACATTATTATAATTTTTGGACGTGTCTTTTACTTTTGTCGTTCGTTCGCGTCACGTAATACCGAATCAGGTACACGTGAAGGTAGCGAAACGGCTGCGAGCGTTTCCCGAGCGTAGCATGTAGTGATGTTGTTACATGACACGCACCTGATAATTATCATGTTTGCACCAGTAACATACCTTCGTCAACCATTCACGTCCCATAATACCAAATTGGGTATATTGGTTAAAGCTAGAAAATGGCCGCCCCACCGTGGTGGTCTATAGTGGCTCAGGTACTCGGCTGCTGACCAGCAGGTCGCGGTATCGAATCTCGGCTGCGGTTTCTGCATTTTCGATGAACGCGAAAATGCTGTAGGCCCGTGTGCTCAGATTTGGGAGCACGTTAAAGAACCCCAGGTAATCGAAATTTCTGGAGCCCTCCACTATGGCACCTCTCATAACCATATGGTTGTTTTGGGACGTTAAATTCCACAAATCCACAACTCCAATCTAGCGAAACATCCGTGAGCGCATGATGAGCGTGGCACGTAGTCATGCTGTTACATGTCATGCATCTCATGATTATCATGTTTACACCAGTCACATATCCCGTTATCCATTTACGTCCCGTAATACCATATTTGGTATGTAAGTTAGCGAAACGGCCGCGAGCACATCATGAGTGTGGCTTGCAGTCATGGTTATACATGACACGCATCTCATGATTATCATTTCTGCACCAGTTACATATCTCGTAATTCATTCGCGTCCCGTAATACCATACCAGTTTTGCACCATGTCATGGCAATGAAACCAACGCAAGAGCAGCAAGCCCATGAAATGTAAATCATGACATTCATGACATACGTTTCGTTATATATATATATATATATATATATATATATATATATATATATATATATATATATATATATATATATATATATATATATATATATATAATCACACTTCTGGTGAGGCCCCGCCGATCTAAAATCGACGTGCGGCAGACTCGCAGGCTTCCAGTTTACGCTTCAGCCTGCGATGCCTGAAAGGCCTTGAAGTGGCGCATTTCAAATTTATTATCAGGTCGGTCGACCGATGCACTGATAGAGCAGACACAGAGATTTGATTACACACAAACAAGCATTTAATTAAAACAGGGGCAAAGGTAGGAGATTACAAAAATAACAGAGGAGGAAAACTGATAAGCGCGATGAAACGCAGGAGAGACCACGCTCCGTGGAGGTGGCGCTTCGTGAAGGAGATGAGCTTTAGAGCGCGCCCAATGCCTGCCCAATGGGAGCCTGTTGCGCCATCTCGCCACTCATAACAAAAACTCGTTGAAGCTTCGAAGCTCTGAAGACTCAAACGTTGTATGGTGTGTATGCATGGCTTGCCGCAAGTATTCAGATAACGTACGCTCCATGGCGTAGTGGTTAAGGCCGCCCGCTGGGAATTGAGAAGAGGCTGGTTTAATTCCGCACAACATATGCTTCCCTTCATGTTTTTCTTTGTAATGTCTTAGTACGTATTTTCAACGTCACTTTCGTGACAGAAGTACGTCAGCGGAGCCGTGGTGGACCCCGCCATAAAACACTATTGTGTTAAAAAAAGGAATGCGTCCGAAAACGAATAGTACATTATGAAGAGGAGAATGATGGACTCGTTTGTTAACAGTATGCGTGTAACTTCGGTGATTAACATCCCGTTTACTTTCAGTGGCACCTTGGTTTCTTCAAGAAAGAGTACACCCCAACAATGCGAGGTTTCGAACGACACGTGGGCTTCTGGGGAGCCTACATTGATTACTACAAGCACGAGAAGACTTATCTCGGGGTGAGAGTATTTGCATACTAGCTCGTCCCGGTTAACCACAGAGTCGTTTAGAAAGAGTTCGCACCTACTAATGTCACTTACGACACGCAAAGAGTAAGAAAGATGCCACAAGCGGGGGGGGGGGTATACGCCCGTACCCGCACCACGTATTGCCACGTACCACGTACCCTGATACCAGCACCACGTATACATCGTACGTAACAATTGTACAAGATTCCGTTTGTACCCGTCTGTCTACTGAAATGAAATACGGCGAATGCCTCGTGTGCACTCGCCTAATGACGGATGCATATATCACCATCTTTCATAAAAAGAGTGTTTCTTACCTCTAGGTCCTACCGTAAATAACCGTAATTACCTACTAGCCATCGCTCTGGCTATGAGTCTAAGCAGTGCATAGACAACGTTTAGGGCAGCCGAGCGTTCAAAGTTGGTACGAGAACATCTGAAAAAAGCGCGCAGCAACTCTCAACAGGAAGAAAGAAAGCACGCGCGAGTTCGTCGTTCCTTGCTTCTTCGTGTCCCATCCAGCGGTGCACATTTTTCTGGAAATGATTAAAGCAGAGTATCGGCCCAGCTCCCGCGTTCACAGTGATATCCGTGCGCTGGCCGGCAATGCGGCACGCGCGCTGCCGTAACAGACGACGCAGCTAAATTCCACTCCCTTAAGGTGTCTGCGCCCCCGCGAGTTGCGGCCGACGCGTGATTGCAGCCCTAGTTGCAGCACGACGCCAGGCGCTCCGAGATTTCCCCTAAGTATGAAACAGCTTGTACTAATAAAAGCTTGAAATAAAAAGAGGTGATAATGAAAAAAAATATATTTCAATCTGTAGCATTTAAATAACCTAATGTTTATACACTGTGCTTTGGAAAAGCTCCCCCCCCCCCCCCCAGACAAGCAGATTAAGCTTCATATTTTACTGATAATGATTAACCAAGAGTACCAAATATATACCTTAAGCCAGCCGTCATAATAAGGTACACTTACAAACAGGAATGTTAAGTGAGAAAATAGTAACGTTATCTTACGAGCAAGTTATAGGTACAAATAGGATGGTTGCTGCAGTTAAAAGTTGTGACGTATAAATAATGTGACTGACCTTATATTTTTACATTTGCTAGTGACAAAACATTGGTAGTGACGGAGTTAAGTTGTTCAGCATAAAACTGAAACACGACTGGGCTCTTTTTCAGCCGACCCGGTCGCCAGGATTGGACATGAGGAGAAACTTTTTCTTAGCCAGAAATGACACTGGAAAATACGTCACTGAGCTCTTGACTGAGGAAGCTTTGGAAATTATCGAAAATCATCCAGTTGACAAAGTAAGATAATATACAACTTGTGTTGCACAAAACATAACGTTTAAACTCATGTGCGGCAAAAAAAAAAAAAGAGTGAGATGTTACAAGGATATCTTTAGCACTTTGCATATATCCCTATAGCCTTGCCTTAACGGGTGCTGCTTCCCAACGTTGTTTCACAGCCTTTGTTTTTGTACCTGGCACACCTAGCTCCCCACTCGGCCGGCCCCCAAGATCCGCTGCAAGTGCCTGACAGGTACATCGAGCAATACCGAGACATCGGATCTACGGAACGAATGATGTACGCCGGTGAGTGTATATGCACCGCTAGACTCGCCTGAAGCTCTCGAGCCTTAATAGCGAGTTACTACGGCAGGATACAGAGCCATGATACGCGAAAACTGCATCATCTATCATCAATTTGGGATGATCAGTGTTCCCGGTCCCCGCTTAGCTCAAAATGATAAAAGATCTCGCGTTTCCGCTTCGGCACTTAGCTGCGCATGGACACGTGAGTAAAGGTGTAAAAAAGTGTATGCGGGTTTCTTGCAGGAAAGCCCGAAGAGGTGCAGGCCCGCTTTTTATAAGAAAATTATTGCTGTTTCCACGAGGCTAAAGCGCCTACCGTCACAAAACGCTGCAGCTACACGAGACTCGGAAGTTCGTAAGGGCGTTTCCTAATAGTTAAAGCATCTTGCGTGTATACGTTGGGAAAAGCGTGTTCAATATTGTCACGAGGTTGTGATACACGCAGCACTTGAGAGGAAGCACGCAGGAGTCAGGGCGGTGTCAGGCGAACTGTTTATTGGGCGAACTTGTGCCCAGCAAAACAGGGCCAAACACAACTCACAGCAACAGCGGCGTGAACAGTCGTCGGCCGACGGAAAAAAAAAAAAAGACCCCCAGTGGCGCACTGCGCCGGCTTTTTATACACGCGTCGTAACGCGTTCCAAAGTGGCATACAAGATAAACGCGGCCTGCGTTGCGCTTAACAGAAAGTGATAGCGTCTTCCTTCGCAAACGAAAAGAACCGCACGTGTCAGTTTTTTATACACGCGTCGTAACGCGTTCCAGAGTGGCATACAAGATAAACGCGGCCTGCGTTGCGCTTAACAGAAAGTGATAGCGTCTTCCTTCGTAAACCAAAAGAACCGCACGTGTCAATATACAAGCTACCAGGAAGGTAATTTCTTATAAATATATGGTCGTCCACATTCAAGGTAAACACCTCAATATATTGAAGACGTTGTAGAAGTTCATGAATAATAAACAATTCGAAAAATTGTTATCACGTTTTTGGACGCCATTATTAAACGTCATATAACGTGCGTAAATTCACCCCGTGAAGTAGAATAAGTTAAAAATTTACCTCTTGGAAAAGTGATAAGGGGTTCACGTTAGGTGTGGTGACCCTGTACAATTTTAAGAGCACATGTGACACAGTTTCAAAGCATTTTGCATGGCCCTGCGGGGCACATGGCTTAACGAATGAGGGCATCGGTTCAATTCTTGGGTACGGCGACTGTGCACTTCGTTGGGGGAGAAATGCAAGAACAGCTGTGTACCGAGATCTTAATGGAGGTTCAAGAACCCCTAGTGTCAAGAAAATTTGACCATGCAAACTGCCGAGAATAAGGGAAAGGAAAAAAATCCAAACTATAAGATTTGCTGAAACTCCTAGTGATTATGAATTAATGCGGAGCCTTTCATTACAGCGCATGTGTTCCACTACAGCAAAGTCGTTCGCCAATAGATTGTTAGAAGACCGCGCCCACTCTGGTGCCTTGACCAACCGATGATGACACACATAAGAAATATGGCGAAGTCATAACTACGCTTCGTTCTTTCATGGATGCCGTCCGAGAGATCTTGTTGGACATGGGGACAACGTCTGCTCGAAGCGGTTCTCAAAGTACTGGTCGCCTTAAGCCCAGTACTTGAATCGCTCTAGTAGAAACATGGCTAACGATTGCCATCATTTCTGAGAAGCCAAGGAAGCATCCATCATTGAGGGGAAAGCCAGTGGACTAAAACGGCGTCTTTTTAGACTTTCGTCAGTTATTGCACGTCAACATGTTCTAAGTCATCGGCATTTGTGAGCCCAACGAGTGTGCCTGCTCTCCTCTCTCTCCCTTTTTCTATCTTTCTAACTTCCTCATCCCTGTCCCCAGTGCAGGCTAGCATACCGGTTGCTCCAGGCTGGCTAACATCTTTGCCTTTCCTTTCCCTCCTGTTCCATGAAATATAATAAAACAGTGGCGCCTTCTGAGGCGTATTCTTTTTAGATTAAATAATTGTCTAATGGCATGCGCGCTATCAGCGTGGTTTATCATTATAGGAAAGTATTAAGGAATGAAATTCAGAACAGCTGTATGAAGGCTGTTGCTGTGAAAAAAAAAAAACTCTCAGACAATTCGACTGTTTTAATAATAATTGTGGGGTTTAATGTCCCTAAACTACCATATTCCTATATGAGAGACGCCGTAGTGGAGATCGAGCTTCGGAAATGACTAACACCTGGGGTTCTTTAACGTGCACAAACCTAAGTCTAAGCACACGGGTCTCAAGCATTTTCGCCTTCATAAAAAATGCGGTCTCCACGGCTGGTATACGATCTCGCGAACTGTGGGTCAGCAGCAGAGGGCCTTAGCCACTAGACCACTGTGTCGAGAGATGTGACTGCTTTTAGAGTCTTTTCTGATTTTAAGGGGCCAATGACAAACAATCTTTTTAAATATCATAATCCGTTTTATGTGGCTTGATTCTTGTGTGCTCAAAAAGAAGGTGGATAAAGTTTAGCATTTTTGGTCCAGCATTTAGTTTTAATTGAATATTTAATAAACACGTGAGCAGCCTGAGAGTTGGGCAACACTGACGCACTTGCGAGTCATGACGTAAGACGCTGCTTGCGTTCAGAGCGCATGCAATCTGCCGAACAATTTCGTTTCATGGTCAACTGCGCCCGCAGGTGAGCCACTAAGCTTTCTTCAGTTGGGCATTGAAATTCAATGATCTGAGAGGCTGAAACAATTTCAGTAGAAGCTCCGCTCTCACAGCACGTAACGTCGCACACGCTATCACAAAATTGCGATATAATGGCAAAATGCTCTACTCAAGTTACTCTGTCTGAAGTACCTTCCGGGTAAAAGCGGTGTCTTGAAAGTATTCTGAGAACGGAGTATCTCCTCTGTCAACTAATGGTGTTATGACCCCCCCCCCCCCTTCTTCTTCTTGGGGAGGAAAATTATCCTGCAGAAAGTAGCCGCATCGCTTAACAGCCCATCCAAACCTAGAGGTAGAGCGTGGCCAGAAGGTTCGATCGAGCCGCTCATTTTAGGGAGGGGGGGTCACTTAAAGTAACACAGAAGAGTGGGGCGTGGTCTTGACTGTTTTGTTTTTAGTAGCAGAAAAACGCCTTCAGAGCACAAATACAGTTATTGTGTGCTCACAGTGGTTTCACTCATTTGTCCTAATTGGTGATACGAGGTGGACTAGGAGCACTGAATTGAGGGGGAGGGCCGCTGACAGAGACTTTGGGGGGGGGGGGCGACCGCTTTTACCACCCCTCCTCTGGATCCGCCAATAAGCGTGGCAAGGAGTGTTTATAAGCGGAACGCGATGTTTCATATAGGGGTGTGTCCTGACTCGCTCCGGTCGGAGGGGCGCCTACTGTAGGTCGTCACACTGCAGACTGCCACCATTGGCCGAGAGCTGATATAAGCCAAGAGCACCGTTTGGATCAGATGAGCATCTTGCCAACGGGGTGCTGCCACGTACTGTCACTGTACTTCATCTATATATAGGAGAAACAGTAGGCGCGTGACAATTATATTTGTAGCTCCACTCGTTTTCCACGGATTCATGAAATTTTCGCGGCAATCGATTCACGAAGGAAAAATTTCCTCCTGAGGCAATTCGATTAATCTACTTGAAAAAACTGTTCATGACCCCTTTGAAAAATATTTCGGGATATATTGTGCAGATATTTCTAATACCTAGGAGAGAACTCCAATTCTTTAGCAAGAGTGCACGAGATCAAGCCACTTGACAGTTGTGTTCGGGCATATTTAATTGTTCAACGTAAGCAGGCTGTGAAAAAATGCGTATACACTCAAACTCGGTAGGGTCTCCAAACTTAACAGGGACGAACCACGCAACCTTATATAGGTCCAGGTCAAACGATGGACCCAAGGGCGTGACCATCCATCCATCCATCCATCCATCCATCCATCCATCCATCCATCCATCCATCCATCCATCCATCCATCCATCCATCGATCGATCCACCCATCCATCTGCCATTCATTCATTCAATCAATCAATCAATCAACCAATCAATCAATCAATCAATCAATCAATCAATCAATTAATTAACTAATCAATCGATCATATTGCTTTCGTGCGCCACGTACTACATCTTACCACATACGTATTATAGAGGGCAGCCTTATTGCGGACGAACTGTTTTGCGCTTTTGGTGAGGCTTTGGACTCCCGCGGTCGAGCCATTCTCTACCAAGATTCACTACTATGCCCGTTAACGGTGTGCAAGCAGGCATGGATTGCACGCATTGTATCCAGTGCCAATCTCTCCCTGAGTCAAACTGCGTGATCTTGGGTTGAAGGGCGACAACAATGCTCTGACGCGTCGGTTAACTCTTCATCACGCTTGCAGGTATGGTTTCGGCGCTGGACGAGTCCGTGGGCCTGGTGTTCGAAGCCCTCGCAAAAAAGGGCATGCTGAGCAACACTTTGTTCGTGTTCAGCTCGGACAACGGCGCCGACGTGGCCGGCCCAAACGCCAACTACGCGTCGTCGTGGCCTCTTCGGGGCCAGAAGTACACCCCCTGGGAAGGAGGCGTGCGTGCGGCGGCTCTCCTTTGGAGCCACGTGCTGGGTGCCAAGAGCCGGGCCGGCGGTGACTACGAGCACTTGTTCCACATCACTGACTGGCTGCCCACTTTGTATCAGCTGGCGGGTCAGTGCACGTATACATTTAACAGCGCCTCCTCGATTTTCGCAATGCCAGCCAGATGCGCCCTATCCAGCCATTCACCACACTCTCCTCTAGCCCTTTCCTGCTCTCGCTCATCGCCTAGCCTTCGCATGTGCTTTGCAGTCATGAGGGAGCGAGTCCATCAATGCAGTGCCTCATGACGGAAATAATTTCGAGTAAATTTTTCTTCAGATGTGTACAGATCTGTGGGGCGGCGTCTTGCATTCCTCGTGTTCACAATGTTGTCAGTCACGCTGGCTCTGCGCCATTAGTGGTGCTATGCAGGCAACCAATAGGGAAGCGCCATTGCAACGCTACTGCATGCGCTGATTTTAAGGCCCGGGAGATACTCGAAGACTCTCGAGCAATGAATCTTTGGCTATTTATAGAAATATTTATTCTTATTTCAATGATATACTTCGTGTTCTCCCAAGATGCATACTTTTATCTCTGCAACGTGACAAATGAAACTCTTAAGCCTTTTGACCCCTCTCTTTTCATCACCAAGCTTCCATATTTTTTATCTTTATTATTTCATAATGTTGATAATTGTATAATGCAAATAAATAATTAGGAAGCGCATATAAAAATACAATAGACAAGAAAAATATTGGACGTGAAAAAGTCCATATTTTCCCCACTCTTGTAAATGTTTAGAATATTTTTATCATAATATTAAAACATTAAAGTTGAGACCTTATAATTGCACTTTTTGTACATTGGAAAACATTGAGGCAAAATTTTAAGCAGATCTGAGCACTAGAAGCACCCGAAAAAAGAGGAGCACGTTAAAATAATTGCAAGATTTCTGTTATGAGAAAAACGAGTTTTAAAGTTAATATTGAAATATTATTATTATAGATGTCATTGAATGCTGTAAAATTCGCATACCCAAAATATCAGTCCTTCCTGTAAGGACTATTGCCAATAAAATGCGCAAGCACCATAAGTTTGTCCCTCACGGCTCTTTCGAGCTGACTCCTCACGTACAATGCGCTTACAGACAGGGTCATGAAACGTTTGCCAAACTTCTTCCGCTCCATCTGGCTGAGCCTTGTGCCAACTGCAAGGTATGGAGAAGTTTGACAGGACCTCAAAATTTAAACTAAGTCCAGTGTCGAGGGACACAGCAGTGCGATGCCATTGTGGCTCTTGTGGCCGTGTTTGTGCCACGTACTGTCGTACATAGCGGCAAAGTCGTCCCCGCTAACTTCCCTCAATGTGAGTTTCCTCGACCTGATATGACTGACACAGATAGCATCCATTGCCGCATCACGGGCTTTCTGGCTGATGGCTGTGGGTGACTGATGCATTGGCTTTCGCAATCCTAAAATCCCCGTAACCGGACCAGCTGCTCGTAGCCTATTGCTACAGAGCGTGCCCCCACAACAGCTTTCACGTTGACAGCGTAGCCATCGCAGGTTAAAAAAACCCTAGGTGGCCGAAATTTCTGGATCCCTCCACTACGGCGTCTCTTATTATCATATGGTGGTTTTTGTACGTTAAACTCGACATATCAATCATCGACAGCGTAGCCATCGCGCGAGCTACAGCTTTCTTCATCTATAATGGAGATAAACACACGAGAACAGCGTTGTTCAGCTGTGCTGCTTGATAAGACACGGACTCTGCAAGTAGGCTTCACAGCTCATACAGGCGCGGAGCGGCCACTGGTGGTCCCCGATTCCTACCATGTGATTTAAAAGCCAGTCGCGGGAAAAGCGTGCTGCTGTTTATCATTTCTTGCGCCGCATCAGAGCGGGAAACTGTCGCTATTTGACGAGTGACGCTGGGCTCTTCGCTTCATGTGATCGACAATGGCGAGCGGGGCGCATTATCAGTGGCAAGATGCTTGAAGACTGCACACTTTCGGCCTTTCAACAGGTAGCTTGTGTTCTTTATACGCAATTTTAAGGCATTTCCAGTCGAGTATCGAATAATTTTTTTTCATAGCCGCTATATAGTTACTAATCTTATCAAAACGGGTAAAAATATCGGTTATTTTTTTTATAAAACTCATGCTTTTCGAGGCACATCACCCCTTAAGAGCACTGTGATGCGACAGGAGCATTGCTTCCGGCCACAAAAAAAAAGAGCACGTACGAACAAATCTGACAGACGTATAATATTGAAGGGGAAACACTTCTATCGCATATCCGGGGGAAAGTGCTCGGACGCCCGTATGACGCAAGCAGTGCTATACCCTCATGTAGCGTCGCATCACGACCACTCACTAAGCTAATTAGGCCTCACCGATGATTTTTCGTGCAAAGGGCCCTTTCCTTTATGTACTGCGAGATCATTGAGGTGTAGTAGCCCTCATTGTCAACGCCGTGTGCAAGACAAGAACGCTCAGCTTTTCTATAAAAACAAGGTTCTACCAGAGGATGTTCGAGAGCTCTTCGGAGGGTGTACCCCTTCAGATGGGCATAGAACGAGGATCATGAAAATTCAGCGCTCCGAATGGCTTCGACGGGTACACCTTTGCAGAGGCTACCTACGGGTGCAGTTGCATCGAACTGTCGAGCCATATGCAGCGGAGGTGCAGATTTTGAAGCATCGACGCCTGGTGGACCAAATGATATGAAATTCCACTGAAAGCATAAACTACGACTGTTACGTGATTTGGTGGACAAAGTGCGCGTGAGTTCAATTATAACGTACATGTGGCAGAGAGCATCTGCCTACTGGTATTTGTACGTGAAAAATTGGAACTTGGGCCAACGTTAGCCATGCAACCCCAAAAGAACAAGCCGGAACTCTTATCAATTGTACGTCAACTTTTGAGGCGGGCTCCAGAGGATCAAGCCACCAGGATCATCAACGAAGGTGTGAACGCCTTGAAATTGTGTAAGCCTCCCTGCTGTAGTTTGCCTCTCAAACGCATGGAAACGTACTTGACACAGCATACTCTGAGTGTACTTCGAGTTGATAAAGAAGGAGGGTTTGCGGTTTTCTCGCATGATGAATTTAAGAAAAGGCTAAAAGTGCTATTATGGCCGCTTTCAGTGAAAAGAAGGAGATTTGAATTGAAAAAGCGAGAGCAAAAGCAATAGAACTGTGTAGGAGGGTTAATTTAGAAGGTGTACTTAGCGGTATAATAAAAAGTAAAAATGACAGTCTGAATGCACTCTTTAGCAATAAAACGCATAAGGAAGGTGTACCGTTCCGAGTTATAGTGTCTGGGTAAGACACATGGCAGAAAGCTGTAGCTCTGTATCTGCAAAGAACATAATACTTGATTGACATAAATGACCCCTTTCTGACGAAAAGTTCAGAGCAGCTGATTTTCGTCAGGGAACGAAAAAACCTAGAGTTAAAAGCGTTTTCTGCTGAAATAAAACATCTGCACTATAAAACTCTGCCACAATCAGCAATATTGACATGTGTTGGCAATTGTATCGATTAGTACGGTGCCGTTAAATTTAGCTCACAATCGGGTACATTCGTCGACAATTTCTTGGAATTGCTTAGGTATTACTGATCGTGAACTTTTGTAAAAACAATGGTACCCAGTAGCTGCAAAAACAAGGAGTATGCATTGGCTTCTGCTTAGTACCACTTTTGAGTACTCTGTTTTTAGCCAAGCGGACAAGGACCTATCAGGGCACCTAAATGAATACATTGTTGTGAACGAATTTAGATACGTCGATGACTTTTTAGTTTTTATCGATCACAGAACTGCCAATTTTACCACTCAATGTATAAGCGTGTGTATCGTTTTTCGTGACTGTCTTAACCCACTTGAAGTGATTCTGAAATGCCATGTGATGAAAGACTCAGATTTATTTACATAACTTTCAATTCTCTGATGAAAAGACATGCCGGCGTTACCAACCCAGGGCAAATAAGCCATTGCTACAGTTCCACTCCGCGCATACAAAACTTCTAAAATGAGACATTGCGAAGATATACCTGATGTGATGGTTAAGGACGTTCGTCACTATGTTTGTTAATAGCGGACGAGAAAGGATTAACATCAACAATTGATGCGAACAAAAGAAGCTTTATATTGCACACTAGAGAAGGAAGTGACAGGTGAAAAAACTATATATCCAACCCTACACGCCAAGCATCACGCACCCTGCACGAGAGTGAGACCTCTATTATGCGGAGAGCTCGCGGCTACGCTAACTCAGTGTCCAGCGCGTATAGTTCTCGGTTCGCAAGAAGAAACCGCTGTCTCACAGTTTGGGTCCCCGTCGTCCCGACATGATGCGGTCGTCGACGTGCGCGAGGGCAAAGGTGGCACGGCTGGAACGGCTGACGGCACACGGATGCGCTACCGTGGGCAGCGCCGTTGCGTCGGACGTCGCGGCCAACCCAGCAGTCAGGGTCGCAACTCCTGAAGTCCAGGATCAGGCCACGGCTCACGAGGACCACACCCGGTAGGCCTCGCCCACGAACCTGCTCCCAGCCACTGCATTCAGGCAGGAGCCGTTCAGCAGGCCCCGTCCTTGGACCTTGTACAGGCCGACGGACTCGACCTCGAACAGACACACCGGAGCTCGACCTGGCCGACACGTACGGGTCCCACGTCCGGCTCAGGAACGCTGCCTCGAACTCGTCCTCTCGAGCGGCGCACCGCTTCGTCTGCCTTCGTGGCCTCAACCCTCGAGCTCTGGAAACACCGGCGCTTGATGGCATGGGTGCGGCTACGGAGCAGTCAACCCGCATCGAAGACGCAATGCTCCATGCGGGGAATGGCCAGCCCGTCCAGCGAACCGCTTGCGTCGAGACGCGATGCTCGGCGCAACCGTAACCATTAGCCAGGCCACGTACATTGCTGTGCCGAACGTCTGACCACGGAGACGCCTCGCCGAGATCCGCGATGCCCTCGGCAAGGAAGAGAACAGCAGGCCAGGCCGCGCCCCGAGATGCAGTACTCGTGCCGGCAATGCCGCCCCAGCTGGTGGTTGGACGGCAGCAGCGTGGACGGCCGCGTTCCCTGGTCGGAACTTGGATCGCCTGCGTCCGACGCTTCGGCCCGCTGTCTGCCGTCTGCCGCTGCTTCGGCTCCTCCCCAGCCATAAAGCCTACCGACACGTAATGGTCACACGTGGCCCAATCGTGGCCCGCTACCTCTATGGGACACCACAGGTCATCAGCTGATTCGCTGACACTCACGCGCACATTACACGCGCCTTGCCCCGCACTTCCGTCGTTGTCGTTTTCTTCACTCATCACAACTGAGTAAGGCACTAAATAAGTCCTGCCAGTACCTCATAGATGAAAGCTTCAGACAACAGGTCTCGAGGCTAAGCGATTCCGGGTACGCTAAGAGCCTCGTCCTGTCAGTTGCAGAAAGATTGCACAGGAAAGTGCTGGAGAAAAGATGCGAAGAGACGGACAGGGCGAGCTCAAGAAAGGAAAATTTTACCGTCATTTCATACACGCACAGGTTCTCTCTCAGCATAAAAAAGATCGCGGAAAAATGTCGCACCAACATAGTTTTCTCAGCACCCAATAAGTTGGCGAGTCTATACAGAAGCACTGGACCAGACAAGGGAAAAGCGAATGTATGCTAAACGAAGCATTTAAACCTATTTGTTGAATGCATCATGTGTGTTGTATTCCTGATTCTAATTACTTATGGAAAGTGCTATATCAGACGGACCAGTAGATGCATAAATGATCGCTAGCGCGAGCACACCAACAGGGTAAATAGCGCTGTTCCTGACGGTTTTCTTTCCCTTAAATGCCAGAGATGCAATTGCACACCCAAACTCAAGGAAACGGTTATTATGAATAAAAGTAGGGGCAATATGACGCGATTGATAATGGAGGCAGGTAGAATTTCAGCGCTTAGTGACGCGTGTGTGAGCAGTCGATCAGTGATGTTGACAAATTAGGAACTTGATTACATGTACCCGTGATAAGCGTTTTTGTGGTTACACATGGAAGAAAAAATGAACAAAGAAAATGCAAAAAAGTGGGAGAGGTATAGTGTTGTAATATGCTGAAACATGCGCATTCGTTATGATTCATGGTTCTGAGAGCTATGCACATCTGACATATGGCGTGGTGGAGTACATACACTAGGGGTATCTGCGTGTAATAAACTGTTCTTGAAAGTTAGCGCTGTGTTGTCTTGAATGTGCCTTCTCTTGTTCGTGGCCTTTGTCTGCTCTGCCATAAATTATCATGCGATGGCTCCCGTTCAGAAGCACGCATTGGCACTGGCCTTTAAAGAAATAAAGGAGGTGTTTCCTTTAACGCAAAACTTGATCTAACAATTCGGGCGTTCACAACTGCTATATGCACGATATGAACTGAGATTATTGCAGAAAGGATTTGCGTCTCGAACCCCTTTATTTAATGGTGACAGCAATGACTGGAGCACGCTACTACCCGAATACAATAAATTTGTTGCCGGGCTAGTTGGTTCTTATTTTTAAGGAGATTTGATAGGAACAAATTCTACAAAAGGATACGGTAAGAATAAATATGTAAGAGGGATCGTCCGTGTTTTCTCTTACTGTGTTGCGTGGAATTCGCGCATATCTATTTCTTTTGAAAGTATATGTATTATATATATATATATATATATATATATATATATATATATATATATATATATATATTTATAATCTGAAGAATTTGTTTATTCTATGTTGTAGGCAAGCGTGTCGCATTGTTCCTGTATATTGTATACCCCCTTTCGCACTCTTTCCCCCAGAACTATTTTGTTAAATTTTCCCCTGACGTCCTCTTTAATTATATTCCAATCACTGCACATCATGAATAAATTGTTTGCATGAAGGCGCACATACTGCTGCGCAGGAGGTGAACCGGTGCACTTAGGCGACATCGACGGAGTGAGCCACGCGAACGCGCTAGTCGGTGACGCGAGTCCTCAGCCACCATCTCCTCCGCGCACGGAACTCGTGGTGAATATCGACTCCATCGACAACTACTCGGCCATCATCGACGGCCACTTCAAGTTCGTGGTGGGTGTCGCAGAGGGAGGCATATACGATCACTGGTACCCGATATTGGGCAACGTCGACTGGAACTCGACCAAGGCCCTGGAACAATGCGAGGCCTCACCTGTAGCTCGAGTGCTCAGGAGCTTGGGCGCAAAACCGACTTGCGGCCCCTCCGGTGGCGCCGCTCCCATCGACTGCGGCGTACGGAACCTCGCAAAGGCGTGCCAGCCCACTGTGGCGCCCTGCCTTTTCGACCTGCGCGAGGACCCATGCGAGTACAACGACGTCGCCGCCGAACATCCCGAGGTGAGGCCCGTTCGGATGTCGACCGTTTCAAGCACGTCTGGACCTGAAACAGCGTAGCACAAACGTGTCTTGCCAAGAAAGTAATCACTTGGCTTGAAATCTGCGTTGGAGTTTCATATGCCAGTTCCAACTTACGAGGCAATATATGAATGCAAGCGTTGATCTATAGTTGGTGGTTCGCGGCATCAGCTCGCGCTTAACGACTCGCACTTTGGTTTTCGGGACGAGCCTGAGAACTTTGTCCTGAGTGTTTTGAAATTTTGATGATTGCTCACCAGACGTGCCGACACTTTGCACCTCAGCTAAAATGCTGCCGTACAAGATAATTATACGTATTTGGGTCATCTTAGCTAATATTAGCCAAGGCGTTGTGAATGCTTTTCAATAGTCTTTTTCGCTTGCTAAGTAACACGATGATCAGGTTCGTGGTCTAATTGACAGATGACGGAACACCGTATTACGTCTCATAGGCGTACACTGCACCAGGTGGGACACCCGAGTTCAAAGCACAAAGCTGTAGCTTGATTGAGACGCTTCCCTTAAATGAATCTCAGACTTTCTTATCTACAATATTGCGCACGTTGCATGCATGTCAGTCTGGAACATTGTACACACATATATTTTGCCAGTATATTCATGACAAATCTCCATGTAAGTGTTCTTACCGGCACTTACCTACGAAAAAAAAACACGGAGGTTCAAGAAAAACGCTTAACTTAAATTGAGGATGACGCAGTGGGCCATCGAGGGAAAAATATAGGTGTAATCATTAGGTGGCAGAAATAGAGCAGAATAGGTCAGGCAACTAAGTGACATTAGGGCCATCTTAAGCGAAATAAAGAAGAAGGAATGGGCATGAGCAAGGCATGTAGCGCGAAGGCAAGATAACCGCTAGTCATTAAAGAATAACAGACTGGGTTGCAAGAGAAGGCAGACGATGGGAAATGCTGAAGTTTAGGTGGGTAGATTATATTGAATAGAGCGCGTGGATTACGTGCCCATTGTCGAGACATGGGAGAAGCATTAGCACTGCAGTGGGCACAGTCAGGCTGATGATGGTGTTCGAGGTGATGATATGGTTTCTTTTCTGTGTTTTCTTTTTGAACAGTTGGTGAAGAGCCTCCTCGTGAAGCTACGACGTTACGAAGATGCCTCCATGCCTCCTGCCAACATTCCACACGATCCACTCTCAGACCCGGGACTTTACGGCAACGCTTGGATCCCGTGGCGAGAGAAGCAACCGTGATACTTATTGAAAGGACCGAAAGCGCTTTTAAACTTCTTGTTTGTTTGTCTGTTTGTTTGTTTTCCGCACCGTCGTCTGTGACCGAGTTCCCGCTATCCTCATGCAGCTCAACATCCACGGCCGTGGCATGGAGAGCTCAGGGCGGGGAAGCTGCTGGCGCCTTTGAAAGGGGCACGACATTGCGACGCTAAGAACAGCCAACAGAAGTTACGGCTGACTCTCATCTGGGAAGATGATTTCGTTTTTTTAAAGGTTTTTCGATCCTTTCTGAAAACTAGTCGTAACACTGCCGTATATATATAAAGATTACCACAGGAAGTTATATAAAATGACTCCCGTGCGGTCTCTGAGGCTAACAGTTTGGACTTGTCTCAAGAAAACTTTGTAGTTTTGTAGCTTCTGTCAATTTAGCCGCTACTTTGAGCATGCCCCAAACGCTGGACCATACTTGCGATGTAATTCGATACTTTTTTCTCGTATATTATTGTATACTGTTAGCTTATTTCCAGATACGATACGCTTACAAATTAAGCGATAATAAATTGCATTCACTGCATTTTGAACTTATTATTTTGACTAATATTTGTAAAGGCGACAAAATTTCAGTTACAAAATACTTACTACTTTCAACTACACACACACGACATATATATATATATATATATATATATATATATATATATATATATATATATATATATATATATATATATATATATATATATATATATATATATATATATATATATATATATATTGTAAACAACAGACGGAGAGCAAACACCCGTTGGTCGGGCAAGCTGGTTTATTCTCTCCTTAGACTTACTCCGCTTCGTTCCAGCCGCCGAGCCGCGTTGCCGTGCTGGTTCTTCACACTCGGCCACGCTGCGGACAAAGAATCAACAGTTCAGTCAAAACTGCGCACTATAGTTTCTTGACGCATGACACGTGCACTGCAAAGTTATTCTTTTCTGCCGGTCAAGCGCAAAACTTAGATCTGAGCAGCTAACGCACCAGGTATTCTACCCTAGGCGTTCTGTGAAAGTGAAAGGCCCCTCGAACTTCTAGAATAGCTTCCCGCTCGAGCAGCTTATTGATGATTGATTGATTTGTGGGGTTTAACGTCCCAAAACCACCATTTGATTATGAGAGACGCCATAGTGAAGGGCTCCGTAAATTTTGACCACCTGGGGTTCTTTAACGTGCACCCGAATCTGAGTACACGGGCCTACATTTCCGCCTCCATCGGAAATGCAGCCGCCACAGCCGGGATACGATCCCGCGACCTGCGGGTCAGTAGCCGTGTACCTTAGCCACTAGACCACCATGGCGGGGCACTCGAGCAGCTGTCGCCCCATTTGCACCCACACCTCGTCTTCAATGTTTTACTTCGGGGCAAGTCACTGGCGGTGGTCATAAAGTCCTGCAGAACCTTCGTATTTGGGAATCGACGTTATGCGAAGCATGCGGAGGAAAGGTGACCGCGTTGCAATTTTTTTATTGAGAGACACGTCATGAAATGACGCTAAATATATGTACAAAGATAGCACGCAAACATATGTTGAAGAGTTGCAGATGTTTACATAGCTAGTTGTTTGCACATGTGCAACAATGTCAACTGGAACATGCGTATTAGCAACACCACAAGCTGATATGAAGCGCTGATGCTCACGAAGATGCTGGTCCTGGATACTGCTACATGAATCAACTTCAGCGCATGGCAACTAATCACTATTGATGTATATATAGTGTGACGTGACGGCTGTATCAAAGGAGTACATATGTAATGATTATAAAATTGTGTAGGCAGCACTGCAACCACTATTGGCGTTTCACGAAGATCAGCGTTTATTTGAAAAGTATTTCCGAGACCTGGCGTAGCTCTGTGGTAAAATGCTTCATTGCCACTCAGAATGCTTTAGTTCAATTCCAGCTGGGACTGTGACATTCATACTTTGCATTCGTCAGCTCAACGCTACCGATGCCGGGTATTTCTAAGCGCTCACGTGTTAAAATTACCCATGTGTGTTCTCATCATTCCTGAGTATAGATACTAAGTGTCAATCACCTGTGGCACATACCCGCATACCAGCGGCACATACCCGCCGATGGGTATGTGCCACTGTCTGGCGGGAAGTGTTTGACGACGTACGCGACGTGATTGTGACATTATACTTGTCTTGATGAGCGTGTCATATTCGTCAAACCATCTTACCCTCCAATGCTAATTTTGGTTCGCGCCCAGTTAAGGAGGTGACCACGAGAGCACCCATACGTAAGCGGCTGGATAGATAGATACTTTCAAAGTCGCCGAAGGTCGCAAAGAAATTCTTTGCATTTGATAGCGCTTCTGTTTTACTTGTGCTTGTGTGGCTGTTTTCTTCGCCGCAGCTCTGAGCTTATGGCAGTCGTCTGTATGGTTGTCGTAGTGTATTATGTCAACAGGAACGTCCAACCTGAGGACTGCTTTTAGATGACGCAGCTTTCCATATACGATTTCCTTTGGTGTCGCAATAGTTGACGTCTGCAGCGCCATGTTAATTGCATAGTCAGTCACCCGAAGGTGGACATCCCAGTCGGCCTCTCCTCTCTTGTCGACTTTGGTGCATGAAGTAGTATTTTCCTCGCCGCAGTTCTGAGCTTATGGCAGTCTGTATGGTTGTCGTAGTGTGTGACGTTAACAGAAACGTCGAACCTGAGGACTTCTTTTAGATGAGGCAGCTTTTCATATACAATTTCCTTTGGTGTCGCACTAGTAGACGTCTGCAGCACCATGTTAACTGCCTACTCAGCCGCCTGAAGTTGGAAATCCCAGTCGGCCTCTCCTTTCCTGTCAACTTTGGTGTGTGGAGTGAGTCTTGCCTGAATACTTTGATTATTGCGCTCAGTAAGGCCGTTTGGTGAGGATAGAATGCAGATGTGTCATCGTGCTTTAGACCTGCCTTGGAAAAGTACCTTCGTAGTTCCCAGCTGCGAAACATCGTTTCACGGTCCGAAATCTGTTTCTTTGTCGCGCCATGCCTTCATAAAATCGGCAGTTCAAGAAATCGATCAAACAAATGGAGTTAGGTGATGACACGGCTACCACTTCAACGAACTTAAATAAGTAGACTACAGCTACAATGATATAGCTGTTTCCAGCAGTGGTGGTGGGAAGCGACCTGGTATAGGCAATGCCCACCGTATGAAAGATCTGGTCGGGTATCTCAACAGATGTGAACCGTCCAGGCCGGCACCCCGCAAGTCACTTAATTTGCTGACACGGTTCGCAACTGGCGATGTAAGAGCGCGCAGTGCTCTGTATTTTTGGCCATCAGAAACGTTCTTGTAATTTACGAAGCGTGGCTCGTTGTCCGATGTGCTCTGCTATGGGGTCTTCATAAATAGCCCGTGCTGTATCGTTGCGAAAACATTTAGGAACGACCAGAAGGTATCGTTCTTGCGAGAGGTCTTCATGCCACTGACGATGGAACAGTACATCATTGCGTATCGCAACAATTTGTTTCCATGCCCGTTACAAATGCAATGATTGGCACCGAGTGCTCGGCCTCTTCTCGGGCTTTGGGCACGTGACAAGGCATCGGCGATGTTATTAAAGATCCTATAGCACGGTGATGGACGTCGAAGTCATATTCTTAAAGTTTGATAACCCACCTAGCAGACTTATGCTTGAGCTGTTGCTGGGAAAACATCCAAGTTAAAGCAGCATTTTCACTTACTACGATGAACTTGTGCCTGAACAAATAACGACGGAGTTTATCGTCCACGCTCCACACCACTGCCAGACATTTCAGCTCATTGGAGTAATAATGGGGCTCGGTATTGGAGAGTTTCGGCTGGCATAACGGATGATGTGCTCAACACTGTCAGAATCCCGCTGGACTAGCACTGCCCCTAGACCGACTTGACTAGCGATGGTGTGTACTTCACTGGTTCATTCATCATTGAAGTGACTCAGTACTGGGAAGGCAGTGAGCTTTTCTTTTATCCTCCGAAAAGTGGTTTCTTGAGCGGCGCCCCATCAATCTGGGCGCTCTTTTTAAAGAGATCGCTCAGGGGAGCCACAATCGAAGCGGAGTGGGGAATGAACTTTGCAAGTAAAATGCCATACCCATGAAAGACTGAATTCACTGCATGCTAGATTTGGGACAACTATCACCCGCATGACGCCATAGACATCCAAAAGTGATTTGATCTTCCAGTTCATTCAAGGCCAGCTTCCAGGTAGCGTGCGTGGCGGTAGGACTTGTTCTGCTGATAGCGTTATTGACTTGGAGCTCAGATCAATGAGTGCACCATGAAGGCTTAAGAAGTTCTTACCAAGGATCATGTCTTTCGAGCTTACCTGTAGTAATGTCTGAGTCTGAGTTTTTATTTCAGACATGCATGCAAAAAATACATGACTGAGAAGGATGAAAAAAAAACCACACAGTCGCGGCTTGACATTGCTTCCTTCCCCCGGATACATCAGAACTGCAGCGTGCACGAAAACATAATAAACAATAATAAACAAGAACTCAAAAGCAGAAAAACTCGGTGCACAATAAATTGGGTAATACTACAAAAACATATCTCCAGGTATATTCGAATAAGGTTCCGGTCTCATAATATAAACCAAGTGGTGGGGAAATGAACACAGTAACGAAATAAGTTTCAAAGAGAGTTAATAAAAGAAAGTTCGCGTATAGAGGTGTGAAAAAAGTCAAACTTGCGAAGCAAAGAAGGCAGTGTAATGCTTAGGGTCTGAAAACCGTAGTTAGTCCGTGGGTGAGGCACAGAACAATACTCGTGGTGCCTTGTAGGTAGTGAGGAATGTTGGTGTGGATGTTAGCGACATCACAAAAGAACAATATGCCATGTTCAATCTGGGATTTGTAGAGCTGTAAAAGACGATGATGGTACATGTTGGTTAAATGCATGATATGATAGGTGGTAAACAGGGGTTCAGAATGCGTTTCGTAAGGCACGTCACCTTGTGGGGTAAATCCGGTATTAAGAAAGTGCTGTTATGCACCATCGGGGGAAATGTTATGCCCTATAGGTATACCATGTTAGACAGCCTGTACTGGTATACCTTTTGGTTTAAGCGGAACCCTGCGTCGTAGAGTCTGCGTAGCACTTCGTTTAAATTGCGCAGGTGTGAGTCCTCGTTGGAGCCAAGGACGAGTGTGATCATCTAAATAAACCACGCAGGCTTGGTTCCTCAGTGAGCTACGGAATTGATCGCGTGCTGAAATATGCTAGGGGCGGAGTCCAAACGGCATGCGATTGAATTCGTATAGGCCTGATGGAGTGCGAAGGGTTGCTTTACACTTATCCTCTTTAGCGACGCAATCTGCCCTGCGCGTAAATCGAGTGACGAGGAGCGCATTTTTTTTTCCTCCGAAACACTACAACAACTAAAAACTTACGCGAAACTGGTACAACTTGGCTGCATGCTTTCACAATTATATCCCCCCCCCCCTCAAGGGCCAAATGTATCCTGTGTAATACTAGAGAGCCACCTCAAAGCATGTACTCTGGGATTGCGAAATAGTTGAGAAGAGAATCGCACGACTCCCCAGATGAAC